AGCTAACCAATATCCGATCTAAGGTTGAATCACCACGAGAGTGATGTATCAGATTGCCTGAACTGGATCTTATGGATGTGGCTGTTGTTGGAGACGAAATCTACCTACGGAGGGGACGTGAGCCGAGACGAATTCAACTATTAATGCATGATCTCTCCCACGGCAAGAGACGAAAGCTACTTGTCGAGTTAGAGTGATTGAATGATTAGTGTGACGAGAGTTGGCTAACCTTATAAGTGTCTATTCTAGTTCCAGATGCATAGAAAATCCTAATCTAATTCCATTGTTTTCAAACCGATTTCTTTTCAAGCTTTTATTTTATGCTTAGTTTATTAGGATTACTGACAACCAAAACCCCTTTTAATCTGATTAGATCTACAATTGTTCTTAGTATCAGTTAGGAGTCCTCAACGTACACATCCCTGTGGATCCGATCCCTAAGTACTACTACGTTTGCGGTGCACTTGCAGCTTTATTTAGGGTAAAATTTGTAGTTGTCCACTGCACCCACATCAACCTTCTCCCAAAACAGAGCTCTCCTGCTTTGGCCTGTATTGTCTCGGCCACTAGGTCCAACCTCATCTACTCTCCCAAGCTGAACAACTTCCAACCGCTCCATCCTTTGATTCATTTGGTCTAACAAACGAGATATCTGGTCCATCTTGATGTTCATGGTTCCAGTTTTGATTTTCTCAGTTTGCAGGGTAGATAGTTCGTCGTCACTTGATGACATGTCACTTGATGACATGTGTAACCTCGCAAAAAGAACAAACACGTTAGTAAAATATTTTTCACAATTTTCTCGGTGTTTTCACTCTACACTCTTAAGATCCTCACTAAATAGTAGAATCTCTCCTCGGTTCTTATTGAACTAAATCAAAAACTCGATATAAGCCCAAACCAATTCAGAAAATCAAGCGTTGAAGAATAAAAAGAGTACATATTGTAGATAGAAAAAAAAAATTGATTCAACCTGATATGATTTTTTTTTTGATTTATTTTTTTCTTCTTTTTTTGTCTCTAGATTTTTTTCCTTTTTTGAATTTAACAAAAGAAAGAAAGAGACGGTGGAATTCAAAAAGACAAGATGGATAGATAATATCAAATTTCAAGAGTGTGGCTCTAATACCACTTGATACGATCATTCAAGAAATGCACACTCTATATCGGTATTGAGGTTGATAATCCTTGACTCCAAAAGGATCACAAAGAAATATGCTAAGGCATTAGCGTTTAATTCGAAGATCCTTAGGCCCAATTTTACGGTAAATTCTTGAAACAAGGTTGTGCTTCACTGGCTGATAGAGATCACGGTAAAATGATGTCAAGGCATGAACGAGGTTCCCGGAAATCCCTGAGCCCCTTAAACGACTTAAAAATATTCTACGAGATAATGGAGTGAAGGCTGCGTCAAACTGTATGAAGACCACTTGATAAACCAAAGAGATTTGTTAGCTAAACACCAATAAATCAAGAGAAAGTTCGCAATAAACCAAAGAGAAAACTTCTCTAAAAGAAACGATTTTATTAAAAAAGGTGAATGAATGATTCTGAGTTCTACATCGCTTATTTATAGGGAAACAAGTAGGCCAAGATCCATACTCATAAATGTAAAAATACATTATATGAAGCAAAGGCTAAAATAAATAAAGTTTGAATGTCTTCTCGGCTGCCTTGACTGCTTTGACTGATCCTTGAGCTTCCAGCCGAAAACGATCCTTGGAATTCTTCATGAGTTAGATCGAGAATGTGAGTGTAAGCCCATTGCACCTGTGAAACACTCCATTCCGGACTCTAAGTTTGTGGAGGTTGTTCCCGTTCGGACCACTAAGTGGCTCTGAACCATTCCATCCATTTTTAGGGTCATATCCTTAAATCAGTCCAATTTCGATAAGTATATTCAGAGATTCATTAATTTAGAGTCGATATTGTAGTAAACAAGAAAGAGAACATATATTTTATTGATATAGTAAAGGATTCAATACAAAGAGTTAGCATATAAGCTATTATAAGTTCGCATGATCATATATATCTGTTCTAACAAACCACCCATCATCTTTGGCTAAACGGTCTGCGCGTCTAAGCTAGATTCTTTCTACGGTCATGATTACCTGAAATGCCAACAATATAAGTATATTCTATTTTTGCTAAGTATTAATCATGCATATGTATGCGTTTATGCTTTTGGATTCCCAACCTTTTATAATCCCACGGTGATTTCCAATCCAGATCATGGGTTGGCCTTGGATAGGCCGAGTATTGGTGAGATCAGTTCCATCTCCTAAGCCGCTCGGCCACGCCAATCCGGATCTGGTCTATAAACTACCACAATCTAACGTGCACCATGCCATGGCCGGCGATCCTTTGAGATTTCAACCGAGACATACGGTCATATCAATCTAGTCCATACTTGGGCCGATCGTCAAGTGCCCCCGGTGGAATCCTTTATCACTTCAGCCGAGACTTACCGTCAGAATGGCCTAGCCCATATTTAGGCCGATCATAAGATTCACCCAACAAAGAAATAACTTAACCGTACGCTCTTAACTATAGAACGCACCCTAGTCGCTCGCGGTCGGTTGTCCTTGCTGTGTCTCTCTCTTCCTTTCTTCCTCCGTGACCCGCACCTTCCACTCCAGACGGTTCTCTTTCCACCAGTCAAGTTCTCTCTCTCTCTCTCTCTCTCTCTCTCTCTCTCTCTCTCTCTCGGTTTGCCTTGGTCTCACAGCCAAAAACCTTTTCCTCTGTTTGTGCGTGCGTAAAAATGAGGGCCAAGGGGTCTATTTATAGATTCTCCTTTTTGTAGCTGCCATATTGCGAACAAGGGTGTGTTGCTTGGCGAACAGGTGCGTTGTTTAGTGGAATAGGCTTTGCAATCATTCGGCCATAACCGCCCATAACCGCTCTAGTCCAGCTGGCTCACTTATCACTTGACTTGACCAACTACCTAACACTTGCCCAAGCTGAGCTGAGCTTCCCGATAGCTGATCCAGCTAGCTTAGCTCGACCGTCCAGCTCATTTTAGCTCCATCCTCCTTATTGTGTTATCTGCTCTCTTTTTCTCGGCTAAATCTTTACGGACTAAGCCAACTATTCCAGACTATGGCTCGAGTCTTTACTTACACTCTCAATGATTCTTTCCCGTAACGGCCATGGTTTGTCCCAATGATCCTATTTCGGATCGGGGACATTACAACCTCCACTCGGAAAACATATTGGGGCAAAACCAAGAGCAGAAAAAACTCAGACATACGGCCAACCTCAAGAAGAACCCACAAACGATATAGAGGTTAGAACTGAGTGTGTAAGCTACCCCTCATTGATCCGGACTTGAACCTCCATCCTCCGTACTTCATTTAGCAACTCCGGACAGCTCCTGCTAGCTTCAGGGACTTGGACTGCTTCATTGGACCCTTTGGAATAACCAATGCCGCCCTCCGGAACCTCACTAGCTTCTTCTGGATCTATGATCACATCAATGGATGTGCACAATGGTGAGAAAACTTCCTTTTGGTTTGATATCTGTTCGGATATGGGAAGATTTATTGATCTGATCGGTCCGAGAGGCACAATTGATATGGAAATTCCTCTTCACGCATTGATCGCATCGTTGATGTCTCGTAGACGACATCGTCATCGAGTCGAGGCTCTGAACAATATGGAAAATGCTTTTGTAGATATCCAATCCAGCCACAAATCAGAATACGCGGATGTATTTCTCTGAAAGAGTAGAGGAGACAGCTTCAAACCTGTTTTCAACTCGAAAAAGACATGGCTTCTCACAAGGGTCATCTCGAATCCAATCCAGTGGCACAAAGGAGTCTGGTTTAAATACTCGTCGCCAAAATACTCTCTACTTGCTTGGTTTTCTATTCACAACCGATTATCTACGGGTGATCGAATGGCATCTTGGAATGTTGGAGCAAATGCTATGTATGTTTTCTTTAATGATCCAATAGAGTTCTGAAATCATTTGTTCTTTGTTTGTCGTTTTTTACGAGAAGTTTGGGCTAAGCTAACAAGGGATCTCCTCAAAGATCAATCCAAAACAAATTGGGAGCTTCTGCTCCAAGTCATTGTGGATATTCATCTAGATTGAACCCAAAAATTTCTATTTCGATATGTCTTCGAAGCTGCAATACATTGCATATGGACAGAGAGAAACAAATATTGTCATGGAGATGTTCCTTCTTCTGCTACTCATATTTATGGACTCATCGACAAACAGGTTCGTTGCAGGCTTCACTCCATTCGTGAATTGGGGAACAACGTTTTCAACGATGGGATTGGTTTCAAGCTTGGTTTAATACCCATAGCTGAGCTGCTCTTATTCATTCGTTTTTACCTCTAATTTTTTCTAAAATTTTTAAGTTAAAAACATACTCGACTTTTTATTGTTTGAATATAATTTTACATTCGGTTAAAATAATTTAAATATTCATTTCCAAAACATGAAAAGAATAATAGTGTGTTAATTACTAATTAATGGTTCATACCAGAGAAAACTTTTTATTTGATTGCCTGAACAAAAGAAATCAAAATGCCACTTTCCAAAAGGGATTTACGTACGAAATCTTTGGAAATATCGTTAAATGTAGATTCACCTCTCTTTAATTGGAGATCTCTTTTGAATTTGCATATGGTTAAGCAGATTCACATGGTTCTCAGTTTTTTTTATCATTGATTGCTACGATATAGAGATATGGAATTTGCATATAAGCCCAAAAAAATTAAATCTCTTTGTTACGTCTTATTTTTCCTTCCATTAGGTTATGCGGGTTATATTGTAATATAATTTGAAATCTAACTGTGTGGGTTATAATTATGCGGGTTATATTGTAATATCAGCGTATCACGGAACATAATAAAAAAGAAACGTTTTTTTGTTATCGAATCTGCTTATAGGCCCAGTAAATTAAGCTCAAATTTAAAAACCAGTGTCACACGCGTGTTTGGCGGGGGCCGTCAATTGTCTTTCCGTATTAATTCGCGGGTTTGGCCGCATTGTCAAACCACAGATCTGTTATTCAGAGCTCTCCTTCCAGATCCTGATCTGCAATTCAAAACTTCAGGTTCATTCTTTTGCAGTCTTCTTTTTATTTTTATTTTTATATAGATTTCGGTATCAGATGCTATATAAATAGATTTCGGTGTCAGCTGCTTCTTCTATATATAAATAGATTTGGTGTCAGATGCTTCTTCTATTTATAAAATAGATTTCGATTTCAGATGCTTCTTTCGTTAAAAAAAAAAAAAAAAAAAGACCCGCACTTATTTACCGTATTTGGATCGTCGTAGCAGAAGAAGTTTACCCTTGTTGAATGTATTCAAAGTTGATTCAGACATGCCTTTGTGTTTTTATATCAAAGAACTGGAAATACTTGTGGTTGTTGTAATTGAAGTTTTCTTTCCCAGAATTTCCTCTCTGGGCAGGACTTACATTCGGTATTCTAAAGTGCAGAACTTTTGTTGTATGAGTATTAATTGAAGAATGAAGGCTTTAATTCTCGTTGGAGGTTTCGGAACTCGATTGAGGCCTCTTACCTTCAGCATGCCAAAACCGCTTGTTGATTTTGGAAACAAACCAATGATTTTGCATCAGGTTTGCTTTTTCTATTGCTTTCGAAGTTTCTTTCTTCACTATATGCATTCTCCGAATCAAAGTCTTAAAATTTAGAGAAAAAAAATTGAACAGATTGAAGCTCTGAAAGATGCTGGAGTGACTGAAGTTGTATTAGCTATCAATCACCAACAACCAGAGGTATAGTGTCCTTGAATCTTTAATTACCCGAGAAAACTACAGTGTGTGATCCTCCTCCTCGCGTTTTGGACCTTTTCGTATTTCTCAGGTGATGTTGAACTTTGTGAAGGAATATGAGAAGAAGCTAGACATAAAAATTACATTTTCCCAGGAAACTGAACCCCTCGGAACAGCAGGGCCTCTCGCGCTGGCTCGGGATAAGCTGGTCGATGAATCAGGCAAACCCTTTTTTGTACTTAACAGCGATGTTATCTGTGAATATCCATTGCTTGAGATGATTGAATTTCACAAAATTCATGGCGCTGAAGCTTCAATCATGGTGACCAAGGTATTTAAAAAGAAAGCATTTTCTACGTAACTGAATCATTCATCTGTTATAGCTTTGCTTCTACATATTAACAGGTTGATGATCCTTCTGAGTATGGTGTGGTGGTTATGGAGGAAACTACATCGAGAGTTGAAAGTTTCGTAGAGAAACCGTTACATTATGTGGGGAACAAGATTAACGCTGGGATTTACCTCTTGAACCCATCTGTTCTTGACAGGATTGAGCTGAGACGGACGTCGATAGAGAAAGAAATATTCCCTAAGATAGCTTCAGAGAAGAAGCTTTACGCGATGCTATTGCCTGGTTTTTGGATGGACATTGGTCAACCAAAAGATTACATAACCGGGCAAAGATTGTATCTTGATTCTCTAAGAAAGAAATCTCTTCAGGAACTGGTCACAGGGGATCATATAGTTGGGAATGTTCTGGTGGATGAGAGTGTGGTTATAGGAGAAGGTTGTTTGATCGGACCTGATGTTGTGATTGGTCCTGGATGTGTGATTGGTTCAGGTGTGAGATTGTTTGGGTGTACTGTTATGCGTGGTGTTCGGATCAAGGAACATGCCTGCATCTCTAATAGTATTGTCGGATGGGATTCAACTGTCGGAAGATGGGCTCGGGTTTTTAACAGAACGGTTCTTGGCAAAGATGTTCATGTTGCCGATGCAGAGGTTTATAGCAGCGGGACTGTTATCTAATAGCTAATGACTGTGAATCCAGAGATGGTCATATGATTTTTTTGTTAATAGTAATCATTTATAACTCTAAATTGATCCTTATTCTTCTTCTTATAATAATTTTTCTATCCACAATGTGGACATTGGGTTCTTGTTTAGGTTTTTAGGCATTATCTTATATATAAAAGAGAAAGGACTTTCTCCCGTAGCTTGACATGTCATCACCTAAAAAAGTGACACGTATCACTCTAATTGTTACAGAAAAACAACGAAAAGTCTGAAAAAACTTTTAATTTGGATTGACCTTTCCTCTTCATCTCTTCGATCTCTTCTTCGTCTATGGTTTCCAGTTTCCAGGTTTCTTCATCACAGTCAGTCATCGTACTTCAGCTATGTGGTTTTCGCTCTCGATCCCATTTTAAATTTCTCTCTTTGGTTATTGGACTAAGTAACTGAAAATTTACAGTGTAGTAGAGCTAAATCGCCGCTTCGAGATACTGATGGTATCGGCGGTGTGGGAGAAGCGTTTTGCTATTTGATGCTTTATATGTACGACAGATGATTAAATTGATACGAGTAATCTCGAACAAAAGTTTTTTTTTCATCTTTCCAAAATCGGCTATCACTTTGAAGCGCTTTAAGAGGTGCTTATCCGAAGTTAATCTACCGGCTGAGATCTCTGATTCATTTATTGGTGAAGAATCCCGATCAAAGATGTTTGTACGGGGAGTAGACGTCATCGTCTTGATTGGATTATTATATACCTTTAGATTGTTTCATAATACTCAAGTTTTAATCTTGATGGTGCGTGATATATAATCTGGCAACTGAATGTGCCTGCTTCGTCTTTTGATTTCTTCCTCTTTCTGTTTATGTTTTGGAACACTTCCTACGTTTTTCATATTTGTGTTTGTTTGATAGGTTTTTTGTGTCTGAAACGATCCTCAAGTCAAGATTGTTGTTGATTCTGAAAGATCCGTGATTTAATTTAACTTTTGCTCGAATGCGATTTAGCTTTTGTGATGTTTCCAAGAGGCTGTCAAATAGTAGACACTCGGGCTACACAGATAACTAAACCCGTCTTGAATTTCCAAGACACCATGATTTTGTTCAGAAACTTATTTCTTGTCTCATGATCACAGCTCTGCTGCAGCCTGCAATGGGTTATGTAAACATGGAGAAGAGATGGGTCTTCCCTCTCGTCATCACATTTCTTAACTTGGTTTCTCTCTTTTTTAACAAGAAGGTGATAGGCTTAGAGGAATTAAGGTAAATAGCAATTCAAGGTCTACATGATAATGCTGGTATTCGCTATGTTGTCTCAAAGGTAATAAACTCGCATGCTTCCAGTTGAGTTCTTCTGTTTTTGGATCATTATTGTTATATGTGCTATTAGTAATGCTATATTTTCTAACTTCATGAATTATCGGGAACTTTCAGTTTCCAGTTTCTGTACTTTGCTTTTGAGAATATAATTTAAGAAAGATGTATAGAAATGGATTTGAGTTACTTGCTTGGTCAATGCTTGCTTTATATTATTCTCTCGGATATAGGCTACATCATGTAGCAGCTTTTACTGAGCTACCTGTCACTGGATCACTCCATCTGGTTTTCAGAGTTAGCTAAGAAAAGGCCACAGTACAATCAAAATTCAAAGAGGAACTTCTGGTAAACCCTGTAAGTTTTTTTTTGGGTGATTTGATACTCGAACATTTTATTGATGGGGTTTGTGAAGAGAAAGATTATAAATTTAATTGGTGTATGTTTTGCTCATCCCTTGCAGAAATATTTCATCAAAATTCTGATGAGATTGGATACTGTTCTTGTAAAATGATAGGTAGCTAGGTTTATTGAATAGTCTTTGTCGCATTTTTGCTTACATGAGTGAACAAAGCAATGAATTAGACAGTAACATGTGTGACTCTCATTAGTTAATATGTTGACCAAGTAGAATGCACTGATGCTCGACGGGGATCCATTCTTTCCAATAATTTTGAACCAGAAGCTTACATGTCTTAGTAGAAGTGACCCTCTCTTGTTTCAGCTAAAGTATTTTTTGTGGAAAACTCATAACAACACTTACATGTCATATGTCCTCCCACCAGAGTTAAAGGAGACTCAAGGGACGTGCCTCTGATTTTGGCCTCACAAAGAAGCTTTTGCCTATTTTTTGCAGTAATCTATTTCCCTTTCAAATATAGGATTTGAAGACAAAGTTATCTTGTCTACAACAAACTGCAATTCAGTTAGAGCAAAACACTTTTGTTGGACGAATTAGGGAGCTTGCTTCCTAAATCCAAAGGTATACTTTTATCACTTAGAACCAGGGCAACCATGATAACCTCTTTTAATTTAAACGTCTATATTTTTTTTGGTCCCATCATGTTTATGGAACATTCCTAAACCCTTCGTTTTAAACACTTCTCACTGCATAAGCTTATGTTGTCCTGTTATTTTTTCATCCTGAATCTATATAGATAAATGCAGGTTACAATCTTCCTAACGAAAAAGAGGATTATGATCTACAAGTGACGTGTATAATGAATATTTTTGTGCTAGAGGATTAACTAAATGAAGCAGGCTAAATATTGATAAAGGCAGCCTTCCACCGTGGATCTTTCTTATATTTGTATAACGTCTCTAAGATGTTTGTCTATTAGTGGTGCTACAATTTTTAATGAGAGAAGTCACTTTGAAGTGGAAAGGGTTTTGTGAAACAAAGTTTCTAAAGAAGTTCGTTATTGTTTAGGGCTCTAACTCAGCATGAGTACGAGACCTGTGCTAACTCAATTGTTGTTAATTTAAGTCAATTTTATGCTAATAATATTAACTGTTAGGTCTTTTGTTCAGAAACCGTTCAAGATGTTCTGCCCTTTAGATTTCCGGAAAGAGATAAATAGTACCCACGTTGAGAGTGCCGAAGGGCAAAGATATGTTTTTGAAATTGTGTGGTATGTATTTAAGAGAAAATAAGTCTCACTCAAATTAATTTTATGCTAATGTGTGATTAACATCATTGTAAGTGGAAATCCTATGGTTTAATTTTGCATCCAAAAGGAAAAATAATTTTCTGTAAATAATTTTCTATGCTCTTTCTTGTAAGATATGTCAACAAGATCACATGTAACTATATAAATCTAAAAATTTCTCCATACTTGTATAAAAAGGCAAGTAAATTAATCCAAGAAAAAAAAGAGCATTGTGTATTATATTATTATTTAAAATAATTTTATATAAAAAAGAATTCAGTATGATGTATTATAAAAAAAAAATCCGCGCATCGCACGGGTATTCACCTAGTATATACAATACTCAGGTCCTCATAATCTCTTTAATCGGATTCAGAAGTCGTTTTGAACAAGATGATTTCATTTTTCACCTTTGAAGCCATCAAAACAAAGTGACACCATGAGTACTAAGTCAATCAATAACAAGCATCAGACCGATAAAAGATCGTTATTGTGGAGTAGTATTGATCTAAAAATTTTCAAGTACAAAGTTCACTGAACAGAGTATCCTAAAAATGCCTCGGCAACTGCAATTGCAAAGCTCTCTTCTCCAAATGTAGTTTTCTTGTTTGACAACGATTCACCTTCACTTGGGTTCTTTGACATTTGTCTTTTACCTCGTCATAGCTAGCCTTTGTTGTCTAGATCGTTCTTCAAATTCAAGTTTTTGGTTGTAGTTGTTGTAATTTCTTAGTTTTCGGTTCTCTCCTTTTTTTTTATCGTTGTAAAGTTGTCAAAAATCGAAAATGGTAGGATTCTTAAGATTTTTACCAAAACACTCTCAAACTCTTTGGTTCAATTCGGTTTTATCCTTTAGTGTTGGCCTTTTGTTTATATTGGGTGGTCTAAATTTGCTACTTCAAGTTTTTGTATTGTATACGGAGAAGAAATTAACTAGTTCAACTTATTGAAGATGCTATTCTGTCCTTGAGACTGCTAGGGACTCTGGGGCTTCTCGCATTCCTGCTGATGCAGAGATCAGATGAGAAGGGGCCCATCTCTTAAGTAGAATCCAATGCGATAGAAGGATGCCAAAGGCCTAAGTTGGTCCTTAATAGAAAAGCCATAGAGCTCATGGTTGATAGTTGACTTTTTTTGTTTGTCAAAATGGTTGACTGCTATCTCTTAATTAGAGAATCTGACTGGGAATGAATACTTTGAGCTCTTCTTCTTCATGGACTCTTCCCAGTTCTGAAGCTTACTATCACTATATACGCATGGCAACTTAATTTTTTACCTCGAACAATTTCGTTCAATTGTAACATAGTCACACAATTCTATAAGAAGTGTAATAAAGTTTCTCTCATCTCTTTCTATATTTTATAGTATTCCAAGTTTTATTTTAGGTAAAGAATTTTCATCTTCAGTTATATTTATTCTTCTAACAAATTATACCCACTCTTTATAATAATCTGAACTAGTTGTTGTTGAGCTTTATTTGTTTAAATATCAGTCAGTCAATCAATAAAAGAGACAAAACTCATCCGAAAACTATCAATATCGTCAGCGGTCACAACAAATTCGCCGCAATTCGTTATTGGAATATGCTCTCTATCATTAAGAATCATGATATAGAATGAAAACGATATTTTGCACACACAAACAAATGAAAACGCTATTTATTATTATAATAATTTTCTGAAAAGAGAAAACAGATCTGAATTGAGTTCATCCCAAAAATAGTGAATCGGTTTGGGTTACTTTTTTTTGTCTTTTAATGGTTTCTGTGTGATTGTATCTACTATGTGTTTGTAATTTTGGTATCAGAACCATGACAGTCTAAATTTTAAATTTTATCTCCCTAAGGGGTTATAAGCCTACTAGTTGTAGTTTTCTACAAACTAATATAGAAAGTATGCTTTATGATTGCTACATAGTGGATCCTCCACATCAGAAATCTGACATAGTTTAGAAAAAAAGAATTTTGAGAAAGAACTCATAAGATTATAATGCTCAAAGTACCTTGAGGCTCAAAGCTAAGAAGTATTACCTCGGTTATCGAGCTAAAACATC